TACAGGAGCAAAGGTGAGTCAGGTTCAGCATGGTAAAAACACCTACCAGGAAAACAAGTATGTAATTGTATGCGGGAGTGTACCTTTCCATGGAAGGAGGGCTTACTTTCCATAGTTAGAGGGCTTACTATCCTATTGAGGTCAGTTAGCCAAAACGAGCAAGAGGTGTTGCACGTTGCCCCATCTGTACTATGAGTTGGTGTGCTACTGCACACTTTTGGTAACTTTTACCTCAGGGGTAGTAGGACTACCCATAGTGTAACAGCTTGAAATTTAATTGGGAAGAAAAAAGATGCTCCTGGGAAATTCAGCCAAACAAAAACAACAAACCCTAAATCGTGGAAATTACGTAGGCTTTTCTTTATTAGAAACAAATGTTGATTTTTTTTTTTTCTGTCTGCACCCTAATTAAAACCATCCTCTGCAATTATAGTATGACCAAATGAATATCTTTCAGTCTGCTTTTCAAGTGTTACAGCTGCACTCAAAATGTTTCTCTGAGATCAGCTAGAAAATACATAACTCAGGAGGGAGAAGAAAGATTTTTGGTAAACAGTAGGCTTGTGTATTTAATCAAACATGTATCTATGTAAAATTTTGTAACATGGATACTTACATGTGTAAAAAAATGGCAGTTTATGGGGAATATGCAAACCCGCTAAAATATGAAGGCTAGCAATGCGTTTTTCTATGTAACCATGAGTGGTTCTCAGAAGTTATCACAATAGCACCCCAGATAATCCTGTAATGTTTCCCAGAACATAAGTCTTGTTTAAGAAGTAATTTTAACTTTTCTTTTTATAACCTTTTTATTAATACCAGTTCTCATATAATCATCTCTATGTATTCAGCCAGGTGTATATATACATTTTACCTATGCCAAGAAGTTAATTAGTAAGCTAAAAATAGAACTGCAAAGTCTGTGGTGTATATGTGTATGTGCATACATGTGTAGACATATAAAATCACCTGTAGATAATGCAGGCACAGAGTCAGTGGAGCTCCTCACACAAAGTAAGTATTTAATTCAACTGATTTCATAACATGAAGTTTAAAGTTTACAATGTATGTCCATAGATTATGTTTGTGTAGACTGTCCTTATTTTCTAAATACTCGGTTTTTTGATTGGGAGGTTTTAAAGCTGCATTGAAAACTTGAAATTTGTAAAGCCTAAAGGCCCTCAGGAAATGAAGGCTCGTATTCACAATCCTCCCCAATTAAGCTCCTAAAAATTGGAGTGACCTTTCTGTCCATCTTCTGTTGTAGCCTGTTTGTATTATCCAAGATAATCATCCTGACACCCATCACTTGTTCTATCTGACCCAGAAGTTTAAGACAAGATGTACCCTAACATATCCTGACACATCTCCTCCTAACATACAGTCACCAAAAATGAGGAGGCAGATTCAGGGTGATTAACCATGACATTACTTTGTAGATCTAACGTAGTATGTGTGTATGTGAAGCTGTATCTGTACAAATAATGGTCAAGTGTGTGTTTAGAGTTAGAAAAATATTCAAGGTTATGTTTTGTATCCCTGGATGTTAATTTAGTATGATTTAGACATTAAGATTTTCTCCATCTAAAATTGTGAGAGAGCTACACACACATTAAAATAAAAATTAAAAAATGAAATAATAAAATAAAATAATAAAACCGAAACAAGGGTGTAAAGGCAGAGACGAAAGAGCATCACTGTATGCTGTGTGGGCTGGGTTTACTTGTCTGCCACATGGCTTTAGAACTCTAAGCGTGCAGTTGTATCTCTGTACTCACTGACTTCCTTGTACATGTTGTCACAGGAGGCTTTGCTTAATCAGTTGTGTGCTGAAAAAAGTAACATAAATTGGAACCTTTTGTCATGAAATATTTAAATATGGGTATGATTTAATGGCTTTGGGGAGAAAATTTAGCATGAGAGATTGTCAGAAACAAGAAATCGATTACATGTAAGAAAGGACTTGAACCTCTAATCAAATATTACCATATACAGAGAGATCCCTAGCTAGTTATAGCTCAATTCAGAGGGGATAATTGTTAGATTTTTTGTTAATTTTAAGTTTTATCAAAATCTAACATTCCTATTTGTGCTTTATCTAGTTTTGCATAATACGTAGTTACAATGATTTATGGAAAGCCATCACTATGTAAATATTGAAGCATACGCTGCATAGTATCCATTAGTAGCATGATATTTTATGAAATATAGGCATCTGTGCAATGTTTCTTTACTTTTGCTGGGGGAAAAACCGAACAGTTTCTTGCAGAAAATTAACAAGATACAGCTTGATATAACTAGTAGAACAGCTTTCTGATTCCCTGCTGTTTCTATGGCAGCAAGGGTAACCCCATGGTAATCACACCCTTAACGCTGCCAGTTTCTCTGATCAGTGGGACCTACCAGCTGCTAAGGGTCTGGCCCTCATTGCAAATCCTTAAACTAAATGAAGCAAGGGGTTGTGGTGCCTCATTGAGAGGTAGCTCCTGTAGCCAATTGCCAGCTTCTCTGAGTTGTGCTGTGGAATAACTCCCCAATAGCATATTGAGGGCCCCTGCATTTAGAATGTCTACCTGTTCACTGCATGCAAAGAGTTTGGTGCTCTGCTGCTGCATGCAGGACTGTGTGTAGCACCTTCCACTTATGTCAGGGAGTCTGTTGCAGGATATATGCCTCCTATTCTCATGAGTTATTGTCATGCTAGCTGTATTTAATTTTTATTTACTTAAATATCCATTTTTATGAAGCATCCATTACATAAACCTGTGAGTGATTTACAAACTAAAGCAAAAACAAAACACATTACTACCAGTAGTACATTACAAAGCATCCTGCAGCTGGTTGCAGACAGGAATCCTAATACATATAGGCAGTGTAAATTAGACAATGTTATTTCCATCTTCAAACAATACAAGTTACAGTTAAAAGGAATTAATGCTTTTGGTTTGGGATTAGAAACGCATGCATATAGATTGGGTCAAAGGTGATGGCAAAGGCCCTGAGACTAAAATCAGAACTGGGTCTGATTTTATAGTTTGAGGTAGGAATTACTCAAATGTAGAACCAGCATGGTTGTTTGGAAGTTGTGGAAGAAGTGGATGTAAGAAGATTTAGGTCACACTCATGGGGAGAGTAGCCAAAGTTAGTTGGATGGGGAGAAAATATAACCTTAGAGCTTTAAATTATGAACCTGGCCTTCAATTGTTTGTGGTGGTGGTGGGTTGTGGGACTTTCCATTTGGGTCACCTGGATAAGATTTCCCATAACTAATTACCATTGAGTATTTTATAGTCTTGTATGGTTTGATTGTTAATGGTCATATGTGGAGCTTTTCTAAAGGTTTTAATTACATCTGAGGTGCTGAAACATGCATAGTATTGGTTTAGTGGAAGGTGTCCCTGCCCATGGCCAGGGGGTAGAACTAGATGATCTTTAAGGTCACTTCCAACCCAAATCATTCTATGATTCTGTGATGATTCTTCGTAATTAACTTTGCATCCAGAGAGGTGATGCGGATCAAAACTGAAATAATAAAACCAGCTGTAGTCAAATAAATATATACCTTACTATTTGGGGGAAACTGTATTTTCCAGTACTCTAGGAAATGTGAGAGGAAAGAAGAAGCTATCCTTTGAATACTGAAGGTGATAAAATAAATAAATGACTAAGACTAGGTGGGGGGAAGGTATTTGCAAGCTTCATAATCAAACAAGAACTAATAGTTTTTGCATTAGTGTGTAGTCCTAAGTGTTTAGATAAGGTTCTGAATCTGAGATTCAAGATTTAAAAAGATCAGAGACAGTATGGTGGAGTATCTTGCAAGGCTTTCAAACTGTTTAATGCATGAGGAAACACTGGAATAATTCTGGTTTGATGGCCTACAACAGTGGTTGTTGATTATAGTTACTGTGCTGATGTTATGTCCAGCATTTGCCCAAAAGGAAAGATGCCGATAAAATGATGTATTCATTATATAAGTATTTTAATATGTTTTTATCAATACATGCAGGAATGGATTGCCTGACATTACACTGCAGAATTTTTAAGTCCTACCTTCAGGCAAATCTCATGCTTACTAGAAAAAATGAAAGTGTGAAATGCTTTTTAATGTATATTTAACAACAGATAGTCTAGTGATTACTGATGTGTATTCTCTCTGGATTTTTCCCTTGCTATCAGAAGGCAATGTTAAGAGACAACATTTTTACACATTTATGCTATCTACATCCATCAGATGCTTACTTTTACATATTTTTAACTGTCTTTTAAAAAAGGCTGCAAAAAAGTCATGTCTTAAGTCTAAACCCTACCAAGATTGCAAGCTTGTAATTGATTACGAGTTATGGTCCAGTTATGTTAAAAACAGTGCTCCAATTTCTACATTTTGATGAAAGTTTATAATTAATATGTTTTTCAGTATTGCTGTCATGGGGAAAAAAATTTAGTAAGGTACAAATATTATGTACTATTTTTAAGATTTTTTGCATTGCATCCAAGTTTCTTGTGAGATGGCCTATGAGTGACTTCAGTCTTATGTCTGCTTATATTTTAGAAACAAATCTATCAAGTTCATTTCCTTATAGCATTACCATTTAATAGCTATTAATATTTTCTATATTTTACAATGAAGTGTATAGCAACAGTTCATATTTTACACTAATGTATGCTAAACAGTAGCATCATACATAAATCACTATTGTTAAAATAAAGGTATTGAAAACATTTTAGATCACAGAACCCCGTGGTCTATATTTTCTTTGCTCTGATATTATTAAATTCAGTCCGTTTCTCTGACTGTGACTCTAATTACTGTATTTGCATGGCTGGAGTGTTTGCATTTTTTTGGTTGAGTTCTATTAACACTGTTTGCATGTTGTATTTTAAGCTTAGTGTTTCATGTTCAGGCAGCAGAGCACCTTCTATTGAATTCCATAATTATGCAGAATCAATAAGTTTTTTCTTTGTGTTTGTCTTTGTTGTTTCTTTGATATGGCCTCTAGGATGCTGCAGGCAAGGTGCTGGACCGCTGGGCCATTATGTCCAGGGAAGAAGAGATCATTACCCTTCAGCAGTTCCTGAGATTTGGAGAAACAAAATCCATCGTGGAGCTGATGGCAATTCAAGAAAAAGAAGGGCAGGCTGTGGCTGTGCCGTCTTCAAAGACAGATTCAGATATAAGGACTTTTATTGAAAGCAATAATCGCACCAGGAGCCCAAGTCTCCTTGCTCACCTGGAGAACAGTAACCCTTCCAGCATTCATCATTTTGAAAACATACCGAATAGCCTTGCATTCCTGCTTCCATTCCAATACATAAATCCAGTCTCTGCTCCACTGCTAGGGCTGCCTCCAAACGGCCTCCTGCTGGAACAACCAGCAATGAGGCTTCGTGAACCGAGCCTTACAGCCCAAAACGAATATAATGAGAGCAGTGAATCTGAAGTTTCCCCTACACCTTTCAAGAACGAGCAAACATCCAGCAGAAATGCTTTGACCAGCATCACAAATGTTGAGCCCAAAACTGAGCCACCATGCGTCTCTCCTGTTCAGACACCTACACCTGTCAATGATTTATCAAAACCAGAACACACTAAAAGCTCATTCCGTATTCATAGAATGAGGAGAATGGGGTCAGCCTCCAGGAAAGGAAGAGTGTTTTGCAATGCATGTGGCAAAACTTTCTATGACAAAGGTACTCTTAAAATCCACTACAATGCGGTTCATCTGAAAATCAAGCACCGGTGTACTATTGAGGGCTGCAACATGGTCTTCAGCTCTCTCAGAAGCCGCAATCGCCACAGTGCTAACCCAAATCCTCGCCTCCACATGCCTATGCTAAGGAATAACCGTGACAAAGATCTAATTCGTGCTACATCAGGTGCTGCGACTCCAGTCATAGCAAGTACAAAATCCAGTCTAACTTTAACAAGTCCTGGGCGTCCACCGATGGGGTTTACCACTCCCCCTCTAGATCCTGTATTACAGAACCCTCTTCCCAGTCAGCTGGTGTTCCCGGCTTTAAAGACTGTCCAACCTGTTCCTCCTTTTTACAGAAATTTGCTTACTCCTGGGGAGATGGTGAGTCCTCCAACCTCACTCCCTACCAGTCCAATAATACCAGCAGTGAGTGGTATGGAGCAGCATCCCCCACCTCCTTCAGAGTCATCAGTGCCTTCAGTGCTGATGCCTACCCCAGAGCCAAATGCTGACCTTGCACCCAAGAAGAAGCCAAGGAAGTCAAGCATGCCAGTTAAAATTGAAAAGGAAGTTATTGATACTGCTGATGAGTTTGATGATGAAGATGAAGAGGTGAATGACAGCAGCACAATGGTGAATAACATTGGCCATGACAATCACTGCCATTCTCAGGAGGAAATGAGCCCAGGCCTGTCTGTGAAAGACTTTTCCAAAACTGACAGAAGCAGATGCATTTCCAGACCAGACATAAGAAGAGCAGACAGCATGACGTCAGAAGACCAGGAGCATGAGAGAGACTATGAAAATGAGTCAGAGTCATCAGAGCCCAAATTGTGCGAAGAATCCATGGAAGGTGATGATCGTCTCCATGAACCTGGTGAAAAATCTATGATGCACAGTGACAGACCAGATGAAAACCACATTGATTCTTCCAACCAGGATGTCATTAAGGTGAAGGAAGAGTATACAGACCCTACATATGATATGTTCTACATGAGCCAATATGGACTTTACAATGGTGGCAGTGCCAGTATGGCTGCCCTTCATGAAAGTTTCGCTTCTACATTCAACTACAGCAGCCCTCAGAAGTTTTCCTCGGAAGGTGAAATGTGCTCTAGCCCAGACCCCAAGATCTGCTATGTGTGCAAGAAAAGTTTCAAGAGTTCCTACAGTGTGAAGCTTCACTACAGAAATGTTCATTTAAAAGAGATGCATGTGTGCACAGTGGCTGGCTGTAATGCTGCGTTCCCATCACGGAGAAGCAGAGACAGGTCAGTAAATATTAATTGATTTTCTACATTATTAAATGTGTTGAATTATGTAAGAATAGGCAGTTTAGGATATATGAAGAAATAGAGAGATGCACAGTAATGACAAGTGACAGTTGTGTTCCCATGACATTGAGAGAGTATTATCACTAAGATTTTCATTGTTGTTTGGGTTTTAGAATAGTGTATTTCTTGGCATCCTCTTAAGTGACTGGCTGGATAATAAATGTCATTATTCTTTCTGTTTGCCTAAGACCATGTGCATTCTCCTTCTGTTTATAAGCTGCAAATTTTATTATATTTATTTTCTTTTCCCTGCAACTTTTAGAACAAGAGAAGCTTCTATTAGATGTATAGTTAATTATAAACAATATGAATATATATATACAAATATCTCCATGCATGTATATCAAACCATGGAACTAGGACTGAGGGAAGGGGTGGATGGGCAGTTGGATGAATAGATGGAGAAATAGAATGGAAGAACTGTGATAAAAGTTATTTACATCCCCATGGGATCATACAAAAGCAAACAGGCACATTAGAAGACTGTCCTTTCTTCTCTTCAATTTTAAAACTAGCTACTATGTTGTTGCAAGAACAAGTGAATATTAGGAAAATAATTATCTCTTTCTTTAGTATAACTTGTATACCTCTCTATCCACTATGGTCATTAAATCTACTTTATCTTCTTTTCTGCGCGTGAGCAGCTCCCTTCCCCACTGATGGGAATCATGCACACTCAGAGAGGAGAGGCTAGATCCCTACATATTTTTAAGATCAGACAGAGTATATTCTGCTGGTCCTTCAGGTGACATCATGCCCTAGTTATGCTGCATCAATACTGAAAAAGTTGGGCTTAAACAGAAGCAGCTGGTCCATAATTGCTTAGGTTTGGGGTTTTTTTTAATAATTATTCTTTTTTATTTCTGAGGAAAATGTAATCTAAATGGAGTTTATCAAGGTGGTAGGATAACACAGTTATTTCATACTTGTGGATGAAAGCTCTCACATGCAATGATGATCATACTATCATATAACAAAATCTGTCTTGTTTATGGAGTTATCGTGAGATTGTGTTGTGTCTTTTCCTTTACTTGTGTTCCATATTTTTCATTATGTTGTAAAAATTCAGCAGACACAGAAATAAGATTAAACCTAGCTAAACATTTCACACACAGCTCCTATATTTTTTTTCTCCCCCATGAAAATTGATTTGATTTGAAAGTGAATATATTATGTCATATAAAATGAAAGCAAGTTAGTTTTGAGACTACTGAGGAGCAAAAATTCACTGTTTTGATGGAGAGCCCAGTCCCCAGATATCTCATGTCTTCTGTTACCATTTATGAAATCCACTAAATAGAAAACCAGGCACAGTCATAAGAATGAAAGTTCAAAACGGATGACGAGGATAATGTAAAAAGTTTCCATTTCAGTAGGATTAAGCAAACCACTGGACATGACAGGTAAAACTAAATTAAAACTCCCTTCTTGGGGTATCCTGGTAACTTTTATGAGACTGGAGTTTGACAAGGGAAGCACGCAGTGGCATAATCTATTCTGAGAGTGGATGTGTGCAACCCCTTTCAGTTCCTAAAGTTGCACATTTTGTTAGTTCAGAATTTGGCTTGATAGGCCTACTTCCTCAAGTGGATTAGGAAAAGTCAGTCATGTACTAAGCAGAGCAGCTTTGCATTCAGCATGTGAAGTAAGAAGTGGTTATCTTTAGGATTTTGAATTTTATGCAATGTATTAAATGTCCACAGGAATCCATTGATAGAGCATGCTTATAGTAAAGTTAGCACAGTAAAGATGTTCTAAGAAAAAGATGGCTCTGGTGACATACATAAAATATTGCTGAGACAAAAACATTAAAAAAGGGCACATTTTGAAAATGTTTTGTCAAATATGTAGGAGACTTCTATTAAGCTTATGGAAAGCAAGCCATAAAATAAAAATCTGATTCAGGAACTTAAACTGCAGGCTGCATATTTAAAGATAAAATTATTATTTAAATATCATTAAGTTCTCTAAGGCACAAGACCATCTTTTTGTATCATTCCACTAGTAACATTCAGAATATGTTTCAGTTATGTGTTGCACTTGGGACAGGAGATATTCGTGGACATGTTACATCCTTTAGTTGCAAAGATTTAAGAGTGGTTATACACATTAAAAAATTCAAGGTGCGGTAGACTTTATATGCCTGTTCAGGCTTGATGTTTTTGTAAGTTCATTAGCACTCCTGGTTTGCAACAGTCATCTGGAAATGCCTTGAAAGAACGAAGTAATACTCTTGTGGTTCATGGTTCCTGATAATTCTTTCCTACACTTGAGAAAGAAACATCTTCAAAACTTCTTGGATTATCCATTCTTATCCAGAAGTACCATGTCTAGGAGCATGCAAAAATGAAAACATCTGTACAGCATATAAAAGAACCTAAACATCTTAAACATTATTTTCTAATACTTCCCTAAAAAAAAAAAAAAAAAAAAAAAGGCTTTTTTTTACAGTAAATTAAGGAAGTGAAAGTTACATTTTTTTTTCCAAACTGCTTAATCACCCTAGAGAGTTTTCTTTTTGTTATTATTTCTTGCTGATATTCTTTTTGAATATATACATTTGTTTTAGAAAGAGTCATTACATAAGTTTACAATTTCTAGCTCTTCAGATTATGGAGAGCATCTTAAAGACAACTGGATAACTAAATTTAATAGCATTGCAAAGTGAGAACTTCCTCCAGCCACTTAAGTCAGCTTTTTTCACTTAAAAGCTCAGAAGCATCTTGCTATTTACTGCTGTACAAGAAATAAGAAATAGCTATCTAAAGTACACAATAATAATTCCTGGATAATATTTGTTGTGTATGGGTGTTCCATTTTGGACACATTATAAAAAGCCTGTGTGGTTTGCTTGCAATGTGAGTCACATAATCTTTGAGTAGCTAGAGAAGCTTAGAATTTCTTTGACAATTAAAATTAAATATTTTTTCAGTACTGTCTTAACAAAATCAGAATTCTAGCTGTCTCATAACATACAGAGTAGCATAGATTTAACTTTTCATAATTTTATTAATCATATTACTAGTATTGTAATATTATTAATCTATTACTACCAGTTAGAGGTCTAAAACTCATTGCTCTAATTATGTTTTAAAAGAAAATACAAGTTTATATGGAGATAAATAACATTGGATGATCCTTTTTTTTCCCTTTAGAGGCATCTGATGTGGCTTAAGACATTTCCAGTGCAATTCTAGTTAATTAAAGATTTGACTGTATTCCCCTTGTCCTGATTATACGCAAAATTCCAAATTGTTGATAGTGTAGCTCTTGTAAAATGGTCTTTGCAAGGGTGGGGTTGTGATACAAACTGCTAATCACCAGAGGCAGCAGATCACTTCAGGAGCAAATGCAGTGCTCCTTTGACTAAAGGTATTTCTTTATCTATGTCACAGCTGCAACCCTCCATTGCAGAATGCATCCTTTAGTAATTTGTGTTCAGAGTTGACTAAATCTTCACTATTGCTGCATTATTTGTGCCGAAGTCAACTCCTGTACAAATATCCTTCTGCCAGAAAGGCTGGAATATCTTCTCTGATCTTTGACTAAACACTGATATTCCGTGTAAATTCAGGTCAAGGTAACTAGAAGATTCAATAGTCCCAACTTACACATGTATTTTCAACACAGGACAGAAGAACACAAAGCACAGTCCTGGCCCTTCCTGTCAGTGATCCAGTAATTCTGTTTTCCCTTCTAAAAATTACACGGTATTGCTTTTGAATATTTGAGCTATTCAAAAGCAATATTGAGCCTAAATTTTTTTAAAGAGCCTTTTTTCATCATTCTTCTGAGCTACAAGTAACATCACTTATCAAAACAATCTTATAAAAACCTGTATCTTTCTTGTCCTTGAAGCACTACACTTGTGAAAACCACTTTTTTCCATATCCCCATGCCATATTCCCATTTTACCTCCATATTGGCACTATTAAAATCTCTGGGTTTTAAGATAGGACAGAGCATTAGTAACAATATGTTACCATGATTTCCTTTCTCTCAATGCATGCAAAATAAATTAACTTTCTGTACCTGTTCAGAGGAACAAAGCAAGAGCTTTTCACTTTGTCTTCCTGCTACTAAAGCAGGACTATTAATTGCTCAGGTCTTTAAATTTTCTCACAAAGTGAGCGTGTGTGTGTGTTCCACAGGATGGGAAGGGTGACTGAGCCCCATGAATAAATTTAAAAACAAAATAATATCTGCTCAGGGTGACTTATAAATAAATATGAGGCAACTGTTGGTGCCAAGTGTGATCATGCCACTTGATTGCTAGTTAAATCAGTCCAGATTTAAACATGTAAACTCCTTGATTTGTATGGAGCAAGACATCTGTAGGTGGTTTATTAAAACCTGCTGATGTCTCCAGACCTAAATTTGTGTGGATAGAGGCCTCTGGGTAGCTGTGTTGAAAAAGCAGAGACATACTTTTTGTCTGGTTACCTGCCTTGTACAGGTGTGCTTGAATAAATTAACATCAGTTACCTATGATGAGCCAACTGCATACATTACCAAGGGAGGTGAAGATGTAAGAAAGCTGCTACCTGCCTCCTGTTATCACCTCCTTGACACAGCAGCACCCATTTTTTCATCATCCTACTATGCTTGAGATCTTCTGCAGATAACTTTTAAGAGAATTATTTTCTATAAATGCACTCAATTCTAGGGATAGATAGCTCCAAGAAATAAGATATTTCACATCAGTCAGTAATTATTACTGTATTCCCCCTATACAATATAATTATCTGTCATATACAGCTTGAATTTCCTACAATAATAACAAGGAAATTAGGTTTTAAGATACTAGGTGTTTGATGGACCCCTTGGCAAGAGTCAAAAGGGCTTTTTTACCTTTTTCTTAAGATATGAATGTATTTATTCCTATACTACTGTTTCTGGACATGAACGCAGTACATGAAGAGACTAGCTACATTATC